ATCTAACCGTCCCCTCTTATAGGTCCACCAGCCAACCCAAGCGTCGCTAGAGATTACTCCCCCTACCTTCTTAGTCTTGATTCATCCGCTACGCGCCAAACACCTGGACTGAACTCTGCCGTGGGTTTTGCCCCTCATCCCTGCCCGCTGCATTCCTCGCCTTAATTTAATTGGTCAGTCTTCGACCCGCTCCGCTGACCTCCATTGTGTTCCACGTCTTAATTTATATGCTACCCGCCAAACACCTGGACTGAACTCTGCCGTGGGTTTTTCCCCTCACCCTGTCCACCAGGACTGAGGCTGAACTCTCTACAATATTACGATTCCATCAGTTTTTCTTCAAAAAAACTGTTAACATTTGCTTGGGCCTAATTGAAATTTAATTTTTTTTTTAAAATACAGGACAAGTAGGTCGTCATGCAGCTGTAGGCAGTTTTCAAGGAGAAATAGTAATATAACATACAATGACAGAAAGACGTCGAGCAATAATGAACATCGGATTGTCGGCCTAGGGACAGATAGACAGTGTGACTTCTGGTAGATGACCGAAAACCTCAGTCCCCTTGGGCCATCTGATCCAGAAGTTTCCATCACTTTCAGTGGTAACCGAAATTAAACTGAAAGTTAACTTTCTGTGTCAGCCAAAACCGAAAATACGCCGAAAGTTAACTTTTCAGTTTCGGCCGAAACTAGACCGAAACTGATCAAATTGTAACCTTCGGCGCCGCAACCGAAGCCGCAATTCGGTCGGTTTTTAGACGAAGGCTTCCTGTCGACATTTTCATTGTTTTGTTGCATTCCTTTTTTCAGGTTTCACCATACTTTGTTTCAATCATTTAATTTTTTAAAAATATTTGTTTTGCTAATTCGATTGCAGTCTCTCCCCCTTATTACCAAAAAATTGATATTTTTTAAACATAAATTTAGAAATTAACCGGGCAATACAAATAGTACACGTGCATCAATTATTATTTAGTCGAACGCGTTTGTGTTTTCTTCAAATGATTAAAATAGCTACTTTTGTAACACATTTTCCTGGAAACTGAGCCCATAATTTTTAAATTCCCACCAATGCATAGACGTACTACTATGAACAAGAAAAGGCAACCCTGGTTTAACGTTATACTTTTTTTTTCAATTACCTTGTTTTGGGCGGCGTTATATGAGGTATTACTTAACTCCCACTAATGTTTTATTTTTATGTTTTTTATGTATTAAACTGTTAAAATCTTAAAAATGACTGAGACAAAATCATTCAGCAATAATTCATTAAATCACCTCAGGAAGTCAATATATATTAGTATTATTATATTATACGCGTTAGTAATATGACGCAATTTAAATATGATTGATACTCTCAGAAGCAATTTTTTTCTATTTTTATAATGTAAATACTGAAATCAATAGCAGACGCCATCTTTGACATATTCATAAATTCTACCAAACGTAACATTATATTAAAATTGTACCACGTAGCATACATAAAATGTAACCTGGCCTTGTTTAAAATCTTACCGAAATCTCCTCCATACCAGTCATTATGACCGCCCAACTTATCATTGCTATCTATGGGCTCACATTATATTATCCAACGACAAATTCTGTTATCAATGTAAGTAATGTAAGCAATGAAATCGGATTGGATGGAATTCAATCCTCGACACATTCACTTTCACAATCCCGACGTTGGAACACATTTATGTCTAACTTGAAAGCCACACGAGGTGTCCCTAAGACGTCACTTTCAGACCATCAGCAACCACATGGCCTCAAATCCGTGAATACATTTTGCAAGTACCATAGAAATAACACTAGATATCGCCACCAAATGATTATTAAATACGGTCAACGCCTGGTGGCAACTCGTAAGAACGGGCTGCTTGTCTCCTTGCAACCTTTCGTCCGTCTGTTGGATTCTAAACAGAGCAGGCGGCGCAGATTTTTCAGCAATCTACGCACTAAGTTGAAGGGGCACTTAAAGAAGGCAGAACAAGCCTGGAAGCTGAGCAGTAAGGAGGCCCTTGATCTGTTTGAAAAGTATTACGACTGCCAGAAGGCCAAGATGAAGGAGTCCAGTGAGTTCCCCATTCAAACTCTGATGGCAATCGAAGGGGAAACAATTGTGTTGACGTGTAGAGTCTGGTAAGCTATGTACGTTTCTGGGTGTTCACTAATCCTATCATCGAACACCCTCCCCCCTAAACAACCACCCCTATTTTGTAATATGTCGCACATGCTCAATTGAAAGTCAATTTATTTTTTATAGATATTTTATTGATAGCTTATTTTAAAACAATGATGTACTCGCCCCAAAAATTGTTTAAAGAAAAAAAAAGAACAAACAAACAAAACAACTTATTGATTATCAAGATTCCAATTTTTTTTCAATTATTTTTATATTTTTAATTTTTTTTCGTGAATAGTGAATATCAAACTACTACATTTCTTCACATAACGAGGCCAGTTATCGGCTGGATATAACATGACGAGATGATTGTATGGATTGAATTGGACATTTGATTCCATCAGCTTAAACAGCACATAATGTTTTCAGTCTTTTATGTCCCCGAGTATTTGTTGCTCCCTCCAAAACTGGTCTGTTTCTAGGCATTAGGTGAACCGCTGTGTTCTTTAGTTACCTGAGTGAACGCTGCCATTCTTAACAGTTTTGGCCCTTTGTTCGAACGGACGTGTTATTGTGGTTGTTTTTTTTCCAAGATAATCAATGACGTCATTTCCGTATCCAATGTGCCTTCGTTCGGATATTTTTATCCCGCCACTTTTTTCCAAGATGTCGGGGTTGAATATTTGCTTTTAAAAACGGTAATGTTAATATGTTACTCTTGCAATGGGTTCAGAACACCACTGGCTTGACACTCTTGAGACGGTAGTGTGTCCCCAATAAAACTGTATACTCGTATTCCTTAAGTCAATCTCCCCATGGGAAATCAGAGGGGGGGGGGTTCTTTAACACAACGTATTTTAGTTGAATGTCACAATCGAATCACAAACTCAGCATTTCCGCCGATAAATGTTGCCATTAAAATTCCATTTTCACCCATCAAGTTACCGGCCAGACGTCGCGCAGATGTCACAGAGGGCAGTCTGGCAGGTATTGAAGCACGAGGATACGGCCCTAGAGGTCATCGTTCCCGGTGACAGGCACGAGGTCAAGCAGGACAACTCGCTCACCATCAACAGTGTGGACGTCAATGACGCAGGTGAGCCGAAAATTATAAACTGGCCAGGTACATACAGACACTGATAGGAAGTGCAAGGAAGATTGGTGGTACAAGGGAGATTTGGGAGTACAAGGAAGAAAGAGGGTACAAGGAAGATAAAAGGTACAAGGACGATGGGATGTACAAGGTATATAGGAGGGACAAGGAAGATAAGACGCAAGGAAGATAGGTGGTGCAAGGGAGATTGGGGGTACAAGAAATATAGGAGGTGCTAGGAAGATTGGAGATATCATGAAGATAGGAGGTACAAATGAAGTTAAGTGGTACAAGGAAGATGGGAGGTACAGGGAAGATTGGTCGTACAAGGAAGATAGGGAGGTACAAAGGAAGATAAGGGGTACAAGGGAGATAGGGGGTACAATAAAGATAGGATGTATCAACGGGGTATCAAGAACTCATATTTTCTACTCATATTAATACGTTTTATAAATGTCTCTTTTACTTTACTGTAAAGCAAAATATATCTCCCCCCCCCCACCACCTCTTCCGCTCTTAAAAATAATTAGACACCAAAGATTCCCACTGACGTTTCTCTCAGATCATGTCACTTTACTAATTGCATCCCTCAATATTTTGTACTCTTTTTTTATAAATGTTCAATAACCACACCTTAACATTTTACATTAGTAATATTATCATCGAGTTTTTGCAGCTCAGTTTGACACAGAAATTTCAGTTTTATAGTATAGGTACGAATGTACAGGTACCCCAACTATTTCAATGTGCAGCAGCCAAAAACTCTTAGTTATTCTAAACAGTAGAGGATTGCCCTGTCCATGAAACCATATCAATTATTACCATGTCCATGATGACCTTGTCCATGATTATTATACCATGTTCATGATTACCTTATCTATGATTACCATGTCCATGATTACCTTGCCCATCATTACCATGTCTATGATTACCTTGTCCATGATTACAATATCCAAGATTACCGTGTCCATGATTACCATGTCCATAGTTACCTCGCCCATTCCGCTAACACGACCTAACATGTGTTCCATTCTCTATGTTCATGTTATGCATTACCCCCACCAGGTCAGTATTTCTGTGTTGATGACCGGGACTATGCTGCCGTCTACCAGCTGGACGTGTTTCTAACTGACCACAGGAAGCACGTGAGTTAGTGGGGGGGTGGGGGAGGGGGGGTTGTTGTTTTTTTTAACTCACTCACAGTTCCTACCGTGATGGCTGTATAAATCGATAGCACAACATGTGTTGCTTCTAGTTCAAGACTTATTAATAGATTTCTCAACCAATGTCCACATTCATACATTGATCAACCTATGTCCAAAACAATATCTATAGATTGACTAAGCATCTTCGAAGAATGCAAACAAAAATATTAAACGCCCATTTTATTCTTTTTTTTAATGTTGGCATCGCCAATTATTAGATCTTAATATATCCAAGCATATAAGCAAGCTTAGATGAACACCTGTGAATTTTTATGTTAGCTGATGTTTTTATCCATGGATCAGTACCTGTTATATGATACCTGATGTTTGTATCCTTGGATCAGTACCTGTTATTTGATACATGATATTTGTATCCATGGATAATTACCTATTTTATGTTAGCTGCTGTTTGTATCCATGAATCAGTACTTGTTTTATGTTAGCTGCTGTTTGTATCCATGAATCAGTACCTGTTTTATGTTAGCTGCTGTTTGTATCCATGAATCAGTACCTGTTTTATGTTAGCTGCTGTTTGTATCCATGAATCAGTACCTGTTTTATGTTAGCTGCTGTTTGTATCCATGAATCAGTACCTGTTTTATGTTAGCTGCTGTTCGTATCCATGAATCAGTACCTGTTTTATGTTAGCTGCTGTTTGTATCCATGGATGAGCCCCTATGGAAATGTTGCCTTAATATCTTTGCCGCCAAGTACTTTGAAGCTAATACAGATCAAGACGCCAATTGCTATTCTTCATTTCTAGATCAAACCTGGCCAAGACGTTCCCCAAGAAGACGTGTACCTGATCAACAGGAACCTGCACGTGTTCACCATGTGGGCCACGTGGTCCGACTGTAACACGTGCGACAGGTCTGGACAGAGAACTCGTGTTGGACAATGCACTGTCAAGGTAAGGCACCATACCCACCCAGTAGGACTTCTTTGACGTTAAGACCAAAAACCTACCAGGAAACTTAAGCGTACCCTTTGAAAACAGCTGTGCGTGCCTCCTCTGGGCACGCTCTCCATAGGTTGCCGACCTCTGTATTATTACAAACAAGACACAAGTTCACATCTTGCCCAACAATACCGCACAATTTCAGGCTGAATACAGATAGCGAAGAGATTGTCCTCTATTAGATTTTAAGGCTGTCATAGTGAAGCCGTGGGTCCTATTTAAATTTTTTATCCCATATTAAAAGCAGATGGACACGTGAGGTTTTACATAAACATTAACTTAACAAATGTTCTCTGCTGAGGTCCCGCCTAAGTTTTATCGAGATTTCATTAGATTTTTTTTGTAAAAGATCTATATTGATGTTCAGATATAATTATGAGTTCAACTGAGCAGTCGGGATAAGATCTATGTTGATGAGTTGTTATGTGAGCTTGTGTACTCACTAGAACACTTTTATCTAAACTTTCAGATAAAGCATACGTTTATCTGAGAACCCACTAGAAATTCGATGCTGACCTGCCTATTTAACATGAATTTAATTGTGTACACTGTAGACCAGGCCTGCACAACTCAAAATGTAAGGCGGGCCTAAATGCCATAAAAAAAAAATTTTGCTGGCCGAATGAAAAAAGATGAAAAAAAAAGGGGGGGGGGCGGCTATAAAGGAACAAAAATTAATAAAAAAAGAAATATTTCCTTACTTCGTCGGCTCTAGAAGATCTATGCCGACCTGACTATATATCATGAGTTTAACGGTGTACTCTAGAAGATCTATGCCGACCTGCCTACATACCATAAGTTTAACGGTGTACTCTAGAAGATCTATGCCGACCTGCCTACATACCACGAGTTTAACGGTGTACTCTAGAAGATCTATGCCGACCTGCCTACATACTATGAGTTTAACGGTGTACTCTAGAAGATCTATGCCGACCTGACTTTATATCATGAGTTTAACTGTGTACTCTAGAAGATCTATGCCGACATGCCTACATACCATGAGTTTAACAGTGTATTCTAGAAGATCTATGCCGACCTGCCTACATACCATGAGTTTAAAGGTGTACTCTAGAAGATCTATGCCGACCTGCCTATATAAAATGAGTTTAACGGTGTACTCTAGAAGATCTATGCCGACATGCTTATATACCATGAGTTTAAGGGTTGTACTCTAGAAGATCTATGCCGACCTGCCTATATACCATGAGTTTAACGGTGTACTCTAGAAGATCTATGCTAACCTGCCTACATACCATGAGTTTAACTGTGTACTCTAGAAGATCTATGCCAACCTGCCTACATACCATGAGTTTAACTGTGTACTCTAGAAGATCTATGCCAACCTGCCTACATACCATGAGTTTAACTGTGTACTCTAGAGGATCTATGCCAACCTGCCTTTATAAAATGAGTTTAATTGTATACTCTCTAAAAGATCTATGCCAACCTGCCTGTATACCATGAGTTTAACAGTGTACTCTAGAAGATCTATGCTAACCTGCCTACATACCATGAGTTTAACTGTGTACTCTAGAAGATCTATGCCAACCTGCCTGCATACCATGAGTTTAACTGTGTACTCTCTAGAGGATCTATGCCAACCTGCCTATATAAAATGAGTTTAATTGTATACTCTCTAGAAGATCTATGCCAACCTGCCTATAAAAAATGAGTTTAATTGTATACTCTCTAGAAGATCTATGCCAACCTGCCTATATAAAATGAGTTTAATTGTATACTCTCTAAAAGATCTATGCCAACCTGCCTATATAAAATGAGTTTAATTGTATACTCTCTAAAAGATCTATGCCAACCTGCCTATATAAACTGAGTTTAATTGTATACTCTCTAGAAGATCTGTGCCGACCTGCCTATATAAAATGAGTTTAATTGTATACTCTCTAAAAGATCTATGCCAACCTGCCTATATAAACTGAGTTTAATTGTATACTCTCTAGAAGATCTATGCCGACTTGCCTATATAAAATGAGTTTAATTGTATACTCTCTAAAAGGTCTATGCCAACCTGCCAATATAAACTGAGTTTAATTGTATACACTCTAGAAGATCTGTGCCGACCTGCCTATATAAAATGAGTTTAATTGTATACTCTCTAGAAGATCTATGCCGACGTGCCGATATTCCCCCGAGACTATGGGATGATGATGTTCTATAAAGAGGGCGTCCCGTGCCACTCCACAGCTCTACCTCGCCATCTCCGTCAGATCCCTGAGATATCAATGAGGTACAGCGAGACGATGGTCCTGGAGTGCAATGAGAAGTGTCCAACAGACCCACCTCCTCTAGAAAGTAAGCAATTTCAGAAACCTGTATTGTAAAAAGGAGGTGGGGGCAGATGGTGGAAACTACAGGGGCGAGTACAGAAGTATTTATATATATTTTTTAAAAAAATTAAATTTCGTATTGATTGCCACATTATTGGTTCCCTTGATTAGGCCCATCCCAACCCCAGTCTTAACTAGTGTTGCCTCCCCCTACGTCAGTCCTTCGTGGCGTAACTTATTTTTTATAATTTAAGTAATTTTAAAAATGGTAGCCTACGAAGTTACATTTTTTTTTTTTTTGGGGAGTGTTCCCTCAGAAGAACTGCAATACTGAGGTACTCACTCCCAATATTCCCTTGAGAGACTCTTAACCCTTGCGGGTCTCCGTGCATTGCGCCTTTTTTTTATATTTTAATTAATTTTAAAAAGGGTACCTTACGAAGTTCCATTTTTTTTTTTTTGGGGAGTGTTCCCTCAGAAGAACTGCAATACTGAGGTACTCACTCCCAATATTCCCTTGAGAGACTCTTAACCCTTGCGGGTCTCCGTGCATTGCGCCTCTATACCTTGACAGGGATCGTCCCGACCCCGGCCAGTCACAAAGCGGGATAGACCACACTTTGATCTTAGCCAAAAGGCCGAGAAGCGATCCTACCAAGTTACATGTTACATGCGTAGTAACCCTTGCACAAATCAATTTGGCTATCTGCAATACACTTTAATCTAGCGGAAGATTGATTGAAGCTCTTTTATGGAATCCAATACAAATGGTACACTAATGAATAGGAGACTTTAAATAATTGGACACGGATTATATCGCCCCCCTCTCCCCGGCCCAGTCACAGACAACACTGGTTAAGTGATTATCTCCCCCAGTCACAGACTGACTGGTAAAGTGATTATCTCCCCCAGTTATGGAACACTGGTAAAGGGATTATCTCACCAGTTACAGACAACACTGGTAAAGTGATTATCTCGCCCTCAGTTACAGACAACACTGGTAAAGTGATTGAGGTTATTGAGCCAGGGTTTCACCCCATCAACAGCAAACCTGCCCTCCCTCCACTGGTCAAGAGAAAAGTGTTGTATGAGCCACAAGACTCTCACCTGGTCCTCCACTGTCCAGGGTAAGGTAACTTAAATCTCACATATTTTAAATCTTGTATATTAACTTCGCTTTTGTTCGTGTGTTTGTAGTAACATCTTCGGATGGCTAAATGACCCATCACCCTATCGAGCTGAAATTCGTCATATACACTCGTTGCTGATGACAACACACTCTTTGCAATTTTCAGCCCATCCACTTAACCCGTACCCCAAAAATCTGTTTTCCCCATTTTTCATGGAGAAGATGAAGGAAATGTTTTTTTTTTCAACGGGTGCGTGTTTTTGCGTGGAGATTAATTCTGTAGCTGTTGCTTTCTATTTTTTAAGCATTTCACTTTAAATATAGCTTTAGTCTATTAGGTTTTAAATGTACTAACAGTGATAAAACCATTTCTATACATCATTCAGTGGCTAAAATCCCATAAATGATAAATTATGTACATACATTTAAACGAATTGGCATATAAAGGATCTATACGTAAAACTTTTTTCGGGCGGTTGTTTGATTAATATTACGCTAGTAGATTTACTTTGCTATTACTAATGGAGTGCTAATGTTTTTGTTCCCTCTGCATTTGGTCTGCCAAATTAGTGTTGATAACGCATTTACTATACCATTAAATGGAATTGTTACAAATATAATATATGAAACTGAAATTTGTATAACAAAAATAATAAAGTAGATAGTTGTTAAAAACGAAAATTCCGTGCAAGCCGAAACTGCAGCAAGAAGCAGAAAAAAAATTATTTTTTAAATTACCAAGATTATGATATAAATAGAATGTATATGGCATTCTTCCGAGACAGTGGAATTGCTATTCACACTTCATCAAATGGCTTACGAGGCCGATCCTGGAGGAACGGCATTCTCTGTTGCATTTCTCACTGAAGAACCTTGACTCATGATTAAACTTGGTTTTCCGCAATGCTCGATTTTGCTGCTTTGTTTCGGGCATCTTCTGCACTTTCATACACTCCTGTTCACCAGTTCGAACGGTGCTCGGACGTGCCAGGTTGCGAAGCGAAGTGATGGACTCTTCCTTCTAATTCCTTTCACTGCTTTACAAAAAACAAAACAAAAAAAAGCTCTGCTCCTCGTGACGCTTAATCTCTAGTGGAGCCACTTAGCCTGGACGGTGTTTTACGGAGACCAGCTGTTGCCCAATGCATCAGATCGTCATGCTCCACGTATCCATTAGATTCAATTGAATGACAACTGTCATTATAACTTGGAATTAACTTCGTCGGAGGTGTTGCCGAAATGACATAGGTATCAGCGTCAGATTGACTTCTGGACTTCATCTCCGGATTTTACAGTTTGGGTTTACTCCCGTAGTCCCTAGCTTCCCGCATTGATTTTATACAGTTATCTCTTTATTCATTCAAAACTTTCTAGTTTTCCATCAACTTCGGTACACACATATATTTGCGAGTCATCCATCTTTTTCAGATATATAAGTGTATGAATACAATGTACATTTCAGATTTATAAATGTAGTAATGCAATGCATCATTCAGATATATAAATATAAATCTACAATGCTATTGCAACTTTGTGGG